CAGTGTGTGGAGGAGAAGGAGTGTGTGTTGTCAGTGTGTGGAGAAGAAGGAGTGTGTTTTGTCAGTGTGTGGAGGAGAAGGAGTGTGTGTTGTCAGTGTGTGGGTGAGAAGGAGTGTGTGTTGTCAGTGTGTGGAGGAGAAGGAGTGTGTGTTGTCAGTGTGTGGAGGAGAAGGAGTGTGTGTTGTCAGTGTGTGGAGGAGAAGGAGTGTGTGTTGTCAGTGTGTGGAGGAGAAGGAGTGTGTGTTGTCAGTGTGTGGAGGAGAAGGAGTGTGTGTTGTCAGTGTGTGGAGGAGTAGAAGGAGTGTGTGTTGTCAGTGTGTGGAGGAGAAGGAGTGTGTGTTGTCAGTGTGTGGAGGAGGAGGAGTGTGTGTTGTCAGTGTGTGGAGGAGAAGGAGTGTGTGTTGTCAGTGTGTGGAGGAGAAGGAGTGTGTGTTGTCAGTGTGTGGAGGAGGAGTGTGTGTTGTCAGTGTGTGGAGGAGAAGGAGTGTGTGTTGTCAGTGTGTGGAGGAGAAGGAGTGTGTGTTGTCAGTGTGTGGAGGAGAAGGAGTGTGTGTTGTCAGTGTGTGGAGGAGGAGTGTGTGTTGTCAGTGTGTGGAGGAGAAGGAGTGTGTGTGTGTCAGTGTGTGGAGGAGAAGGAGTGTGTGTTGTCAGTGTGTGGAGGAGAAGGAGTGTGTGTGTGTCAGTGTGTGGAGGAGAAGGAGTGTGTGTTGTCAGTGTGTGGAGGAGAAGGAGTGTGTGTTGTCAGTGTGTGGAGGAGGAGAAGGAGTGTGTGTTGTCAGTGTGTGGAGGAGGAGAAGGAGTGTGTGTTGTCAGTGTGTGGAGGAGAAGGAGTGTGTGTTGTCAGTGTGTGGAGGAAAAGGAGTGTGTGTTGTCAGTGTGTGGAGGAGAAGGAGTGTGTGTTGTCAGTGTGTGGAGGAGAAGGAGTGTGTGTTGTCAGTGTGTGGAGGAGAAGGAGTGTGTGTTGTCAGTGTGTGGAGGAGAAGGAGTGTGTGTTGTCAGTGTGTGGAGGAGAAGGAGTGTGTGTTGTCAGTGTGTGGAAACATGGTAAAGACGTTATTTGATGAGAAAAAAAATACAACAAAATTGACTCCGCCTCAAAGTCATTTTGGCGCATTTTGCCGTAATCTAACTATTAGAAGAAGAAGACTCCTTTTGGCTCAATCTTTTGGGTTGATGCCATTTTGCCACAGGACGAAAGAGCCATGTCAGCTAAAAAGACCGCGACCAATATCGTAATGCCAAGCTCCGTAACAGAGTGTGTGTGCGCCCGACGCTGCATTGGAGCGAGGACACTCGGCTGCGGCGTGCTGATCTCTGTGCTAAAATCAAAGATTATAACCGGGAAAACTGACCTGAGATCTGGGAAAAAGGTGTCAGGGCAGGGCCTCGCGTTTCAAGTTCACACAGGGCCTCGCACCCCCCTTGCGACGGGCCTGGGTACAGAGGATCACTGCCTGTAGTGTACCTGTGCTACAGCACACAGGTACAGAGGATCTGCCTGTAGTGTCCCTGTGCTACAGCACACAGGTACAGAGGATCTGCCTGTAGTGTCCCTGTGCTACAGCACACAGGTACAGAGGATCTGCCTGTAGTGTCCCTGTGCTGCAGCACACAGGTACAGAGGATCTGCCTGTAGTGTCCTTGTGCTTCAGCACACAGGTACAGAGGATCACTGCCTTTAGTGTCCCTGTGCTGCAGCACACAGGTACAGATGATCGCTGCCTGTAGTGTCCTTGTGCTTCAGCACACAGGTACAGAGGATTGCTGCCTGTAGTGTCCCTGTGCTACAGCACACAGGTACAGAGGATCGCTGCCTGTAGTGTCCCTGTGCTACAGCACACAGGTACAGAGGATCTGCCTGTAGTGTCCCTGTGCTACAGCACACAGGTACAGAGGATCTGCCTGTAGTGTCCCCGTGCTACAGCACACAGGTACAGAGGATCTGCCTGTAGTGTCCCTGTGCTGCAGCACACAGGTACAGAGGATCTACCTGTAGTATCCTTGTGCTGCAGCACACAGGTACAGAGGATCGCTGCCTGTAGTGTCCCTGTGCTACAGCACACAGGTACAGAGGATCACTGCCTGTAGTGTCCCTGTGCTACAGCACACAGGTACAGAGGATCTGCCTGTAGTGTCCCTGTGCTGCAGCACACAGGTACAGAGGATCTGCCTGTAGTGCCCCCGTGCTACAGCACACAGGTACAGAGGATCGCTGCCTGTAGTGTCCCTGTACTGCTGCACACAGGTACAGAGGATCTGCCTGTAGTGTCCCTGTGCTACAGCACACAGGTACAGAGGATCTGCCTGTAGTGTACCTGTGCTCCTGAGTCCTGACTTTGTACCTTTGGACCACTTTTACCTTATTATTATTGTATTGGGGAGGCCTACTGTCATTCGTCGGTTTCATATTATTATTTTTCGGCAAGATCAATTTGATTTTTGACCCTGAAGACAGGCACGAAAGTCTGCACATGGGGGGTCAAAAACGACAAAAGGCGATTCGATAGCGCCCCCTGGAAAAGTCAAATTTGCAAAGCCTGTGGGAGCCAGGCATGCATATTTTGGAGTAGGTACATGAAATGCAGATCAGTGATAGATCTCTATGAGACGAGCATAAAACTCTCTCTGGGCCTCACTCTGGGACCAACAGGAAGTCGGCCATGATGGGCTGAAGTTTCCCCGCTAATTTGACTTTTCCTTTTTTACTTTGAACTAGTCCCTGGTTTTTCATCACACAGAGTTCTACCACGTCATTTCCTAATCTGGACGGATGGAAGTTACACAATCATCAAAAAAAGGTTAGAAAATCATCACCGTTTTTGTCCCTCGCCATGGCAAATAAGGCCTTCGTTTTGGCCGTTTTCGCTGAGCCCTGAGGGCCACAGGCTCAGACCTACAGAGCTGAACAGAGCTAACAGTTGGTAATGGCCTGAGCGTAATGGTGTGAAAACACACACCTTATATGACTCTACAGCGCCACCTATGGAAGGCTTCTGACCTTAACTTTTCCAATCCTCACCAAAGTCGCACAATGAATTCTTTACGTCCGTGAGAGCAAAATACTATCCTACGCAGAGAGTGCATGTCCAAGACGTGGCCACTAGGGGCGCACTTTATCCTATTAATGAGCTTTTATGTACGTAATCCTGGTCGGATTGGGCTGCCAATTCGTCGGCGAGTACGCCACGTGACACTTGTGGGATTGGCGCCCGGGAGGCGGTCGCGAGAGTGGCAAGGCCTTTCATCGCCGCTTGCGGCTTTAATTATTACTATTTTCATTATAATTATCAATATTATTATTTTATTTTATTTTTACCTTATCTATTGCGTCTCTCTTTTTTAACTGCAAAAAGAATCTACCCACGGGTACAAATAAAGTCACCTTGAACCTTGAAGACAAATTGTAACAGACAATAAAGACTAATCCAGTCTTTTCTCCTGAAGTCAAAGTGTGTCACAGGTTTGTGTGTGTGTTGTTTTGTGCGTCTGAAGCTTTGTGTAGTGTGTGTATAATAAAGAGAGAACAGGACACATGGACATGAGTCACATCTGTGTGAAACTAGTCCTTCAGCTCAATATCTACAAACGACTGAATGACAGACCTTAAATATGGAGACCAGGTGAGAGCCATGGTGCGGACCAGTGGAGACATCTGCAGCCGCTCTGTGGAGAGACAGAGACACTTATGTCCATGAGACAGAGACACTTATGTCCATGAGACAGAGACACTTATGTCCATGAGACTGAGACACTTATGTCCATGAGACAGAGACACTTATGTCCATGAGACAGAGACAGACACTTATGTCCATGAGACTGAGACACTTATGTCCATGAGACTGAGACACTTATGTCCATGAAACTCACACTGTCCTGAAGTTCCATTGTTTATCCATAGACCGGTCACTCCTGAAGTGCCATAGTACATCCTTAGACCGGTCACTCTTGAGGGACTCACATCTGGGACCAGGTCCAGACTGAAGTTTGTGGAGGATCCTGAGACACAGAAGAAGTGAGCTTCAGTGTCGGAGAGGCCTTCACCACAGGCTGCGTCACGTCCACAAACACACAGATATCATCTACACCTGGTATCTACACCTGGTATCTACACCTGGTATGAGCTCTGTCCATGTCTTCAGGACACTGTGTCTGTGAGCTGCTGATACAAGGAGTGGGACTTACCAAGGACAAGCTCCTCTTTATCATGGTTTAGTCCTGGTTTAGTCCTGGTTTAGTCCTGGTTTAGTCCTGGTTTAGTCCTGGTTTAGTCTTGGTTTAGTCCTGGTTTAGTCCTGGTTTAGTCCTGGTTTAGTCTTGGTTTAGTCCTGGTTTAGTCCTGGTTTAGTCCTGGTTTAGTCCTGGTTGAGCCCAGACATTTAACTTCTGCAGTTCCATCTACAGGAGGATCTTTGAGTGACGTCGTTGTTTATAGTTGTTCATAAACAATCACTCACACAGACACATGGTACTTACTTTCTGGTCACTAACACAGACACATCAACACGTCACACATGGTACTTACTTTCTGGTCACTAGCACAGACACATCAAACCGTCACACATGGTACGTATACTTTCTGGTCACTAACACAGACACATCAACACGTCACACATAGTACTTACTTTCTGGTCACTAACGCAGACACATCAACACGTCACACATGGTACTTACTTTCTGGTCACTCACACAGACACATGGTAATTACTTTCTGGTCACTAACACAGACACATCAACACGTCACACATGGTACTTACTGTCTGGTCACTAACACAGACACATCAACACGTCACACATGGTACTTACTTTCTGGTCACTAACACAGACACATCAACACGTCACACATGGTACTTACTTTCTGGTCACTAGCACAGACACATCAACACGTCACACATGGTACTTACTTTCTGGTCACTCACACAGACACATCAACACGTCACACATGGTACTTACTTTCTGGTCACTCACACAGACACATCAACACGTCACACATGGTACTTACTTTCTGGTCACTAACACAGACACATCAACACGTCACACATGGTACTTACTTTCTGGTCACTAACACAGACACATCAACACGTCACACATGGTACTTACTTTCTGGTCACTAACACAGACACATCAACACGTCACACATGGTACTTACTTTCTGGTCACTAACACAGACACATCAACACGTCACACATGGTACTTACTTTCTGGTCACTAACACAGACACATCAACACGTCACACATGGTACTTACTTTCTGGTCACTAACACAGACACATCAACATGTCACACATGGTACTTACTTTCTGGTCACTAACACAGACACATCAACACGTCACACATGGTACTTACTTTCTGGTCACTAACACAGACACATCAACATGTCACACATGGTACTTACTTTCTGGTCACTAACACAGACACATCAACACGTCACACATGGTAATTAACAGCAGAAATATTCCTCAAATCAAAATGAGCTGTGGATTTGAAAACTAAAAAATCAGTTCAACGATACAGAGGAACAACAGGAGATGACCGCCCAGGCCCTGACCTGCTTAGCCTCAGACACACATGAATCACAGTCAGACTTACCCATGATCCTCCTCCTTTTTAAAGTCAATCAATATATCAAAGGAGCTCAGTGACGCCGCCCTTCTGGTGGTGGGAGGACAGTGCTCTCTCTGGTCCATGCTCAGTCTCTCTGTCGCCGCCCTGCTGGTGGTCAGTCCAGACTCCTACACAATAAAACAGTGTTTGACTCCGCCCACTGTTTCTATAGTAACTGTTGTATACATACGTCACACATTAACACGTCACACATGGTACTTACTTTCTGGTCACTAACACAGACACATGGTACTTACTTTCTGGTCACTAACACAGGCACATGGTACTTACTTTCTGGTCACTAACACAGGCACATGGTACTTACTTTCTGGTCACTAACACAGACACATGGTACTTACTTTCTGGTCAATAACACAGACACATGGTACTTACTTTCTGGTCACTAAAACAGACACATGGTACTTACTTTCTGGTCACTAACACAGACACATGGTACGTACTTTCTGGTCACTAACACAGACAAATGGTACTTATTTTCTGGTCACAGACACATGGTACTTACTTTCTGGTCACTAACACAGACACATGGTACTTACTTTCTGGTCACTAACACAGACACATGGTACTTACTTTCTGGTCACTAACACAGACAGACTGATCCTTATTGTTCCTGAAGAAGTCTCTGTCGTGTTGCTCTGAAACACACAAGACCAAGGAGGAAGTCGTCACAACCGACTCAACTGGTTTGGAAGATTTCTTTATAGTCTCTCTGGTTTCTAAATCTGGAGTCTTCCTGGTCTCTCCCTCTGATCTCTCTCTGGTCCCTCTATTTCTGGTCTCTTTCTGGTTTCTAAATCTGGAGTCTCTGGTCTCTCTCTTTCTCTTCTCTCTCTGGTCATTCATTGGTCTCTGTCTCTGGTCTCTCTCTGGTCTCACTGTGGTCTCTCTCTGGTCTCACTGTGGTCTCTCTCTGGTCTCTCTCTGGTCTCTCTCTGGTCTCACTGTGGTCTCTCTCTGGTCTCTCTCTGGTCTCTCTCTGGTCTCACTGTGGTCTCTCTCTGGTCTCTCTCTCTCTGGTCTCTCTCTGGTCTCTCTCTGGTCTCTCTCTGGTCTCACTGTGGTCTCTCTCTGGTCTCTCTCTGGTCTCTCTCTCTCTGGTCTCTCTCTGGTCTCTCTCTGGTCTCTCTCTCTGGTCTCTCTCTGGTCTCTCTCTCTAGTCTCTCTCTCTGGTCTCTCTCTGGTCTCTCTCTCTAGTCTCTCTCCCTGGTCTCTCTCTGGTCTCTCTCTGGTCTCTCTCTCTCTGGTCTCTCTCTCTGGTCTCTCTCTGGTTTCTCTCTGGTCTCTCTCTCTCTGGTCTCTCTCTCTGGTCTCTCTCTGGTCTCTCTCTGGTCTCTCTCTCTCTGGTCTCTCTCTCTGATCTCTCTCTGGTCTCTCTCTGGTCTCTCTCTGGTCTCTCTCTCTGGTCTCTCTCTGGTCTCTCTCTGGTCTCTCTCTGGTCTCTCTCTCTAGTCTCTCTCTCTGGTCTCTCTCTGGTCTCTCTCTGGTCTCTCTCTCTCTAGTCTCTCTCTCTGGTCTCTCTCTGGTCTCTCTCTGGTCTCTCTCTCTAGTCTCTCTCTCTGGTCTCTCTCTGGTCTCTCTCTGGTCTCTCTCTCTAGTCTCTCTCTCTGGTCTCTCTCTGGTCTCTCTCTGGTCTCTCTCTCTCTGGTCTCTCTCTCTGGTCTCTCTCTGGTTTCTCTCTGGTCTCTCTCTCTCTGGTCTCTCTCTCTGGTCTCTCTCTGGTCTCTCTCTGGTCTCTCTCTCTCTGGTCTCTCTCTCTGATCTCTCTCTGGTCTCTTTCTGGTCTTTCTCTGGTCTCTCTCTGGTCTCTCTCTGGTCTCTCTCTCTGGTCTCTCTCTCTGGTCTCACTATGGTCTCTCTCTGGTCTTTCTCTGGTCTTTCTCTGGTTTCTCTCTTGATTTTAATAATAATAATGCATTGGTTTATACAGCACTTTTCAGAACACGTGTCATAATTCTTTCTCTCCAAACACGGTGGTGATGAACTACTGTAGCCGCAGCTGCCCTGGGGCACACTGACAGAAGCGAGGCAACCAGTCTGTGCCATCGGCCCCTCCCACCACCACCAACCATTCACACACACACCAGACTCATTCTAATGTGGGGGAAGTGTCTTGCCTAAGGACACAACCATAGTTTGGCACTTTACAGCCGCAGCCGCCCCACTGTGGCACCTGCTGTTCCCAGAGGTCTCCCATCACAGTACTAACCAGGCCCTGCCCTGCTTAGCTTCAGAGGTCTGAGGGATCTGGCTTTAACATACAGGTGAGGCCACAAACTGTACTTGCATTGGTGCGTCACAGACAGAGCTGCACCTTTAAAGCTCGTGCACATGCCAGACATTCTTGTTGCTCATCCTGCTCCCATCCTGCCACCTGCCCCGCCTCCTTAGGTTTGGTTTGCTCTGGTTTGGTTTGGTTAGCTTTGGTTTGGTTTAGTTTGTGGTATATTTTCTACACACCATTCACCACTGCAGACTCTCACAGCACATACACCGCACACACTCACTACACACTTCAAACCTCATTAAAACATTCACTTTGGTTATTCATAAATATTATTTCAATTGAAACTGTTGTTTAGAGAGTTTCTGTCATTTCTACGGAGGAGATATTTACACCCAGATCTAGCACACGGCAACGGACCCACACAATCTGTTCATAAATATTCAAATGGCTCACTTACAGCTGGAATAGGCTGCAGTGGTGCTGGGGCTAGTGCCCTTTTTCCTGTCAACATGTGTGACAAGTCTTAACAAACGCCGACACATCTCTATTCACCCGCGGCCAAAGAAATGCTTGAGAAGACTCAGATATGTTTTACGAACGCCAAAGTGACCAGAATTATTGTACGCCACCTCAAGAACGAAACTTTGCTGGAACTACAACTTGGAACATGGCATCGTGCTCACGGTCCCCACAAACATGTACTTTCTGAACAGCACATCCTTCTGAACAGAATATCCATTTGCCAAACTCTCTATCTGTGCCTCGTCATTCATTCATTCATATTCTACCCCTTTATTAGTCCATCTCTGGGTCGGGGGGTGGTAATGAGAGCTGCCCCCAATGCTCATAGCACCAGTCCCTCTGATCCTCTGCAGGGGGTGGGTCCACAGGAAGATGGCTGCTACATCAGTGCCACAGCCTCGGTGTTTCAGCGGGAGCTTCAGACAATGTGGGGTTAAGTGTCTTGCCCAAGGACACAGCGACAGTAGACATTAGTGGGAGCAGAGTTTTGTGCCTCGGAGACAGCCAAATCAAATGAACTTTCCAAAGTCAGACCTTCTTGCTGCGACCGAACCAACTCAGCGTGGGATACATTTAATGGATATTCTGCCGTGGACAACACAAAATCACTGACTCTGCATCATCTGCAGAATCCGCTTCATGCATGGCCTGCGTCACCGCGCACGCAGGGAACACGTCTGGCTGCGATGACGTAACGCTCTCAGGGACAGTGGGACATAAAGTAACAACAGGTGCAGCACCTCCACAGCCTCAGGATCCACAGTCTCCCCACCACCAGAGTCTGTGTCAGCCCAGACACCACCACCAGAGTCTGTGTCAGCCCAGACACCACCACCAGAGTCTGTGTCAGCCCAGACACCACCACCAAGTCTGTGTCAGCCAGTCTGTGTCAGCCCAGACACCACCACCAGAGTCTGTGTCAGCCCAGACACCACCACCAGAGTCTGTGTCAGCCCAGACACCACCACCAGAGTCTGTGTCAGCCCAGACACCACCACCAGAGTCTGTGTCAGCCCACAGACACCACCACCAGAGTCTGTGTCAGCCAGACACACACAAGTCTGTTCAGCCCAGACACCACCACCAGAGTCTGTGTCAGCCCAGACACCACCACAGAGTCTGTGTCAGCCCAGACCACACCAGAGTCTGTGTCAGCCCAGACACCACCACCAGAGTCTGTGTCAGCCCAGACACCACCACCAGAGTCTGTGTCAGCCCAGACACCACCACCAGAGTCTGTGTCAGCCCAGACACCACCACCAGAGTCTGTGTCAGCCCAGACACCACCACCAGAGTCTGTGTCAGCCCAGACACCACCACCAGAGTCTGTGTCAGCCCAGACACCACCACCAGAGTCTGTGTAAGCCCAGACACCACCACCAGAGTCTGTGTCAGCCCAGACACCACCACCAGAGTCTGTGTCAGCCCAGACACCACCACCAGAGTCTGTGTCAGCCCAGACACCACCACCAGAGTCTGTGTCAGCCCAGACACCACCACCAGAGTCTGTGTCAGCCCAGACACCACCACCAGAGTCTGTGTCAGCCCAGACACCACCACCAGCCGACCCATTCTCCAAAATGAAATGAATCCTCTCGATGGGCAGCGCTGGTCGCACACCGACAGTGACCTCTCCCCGCACCAGCTCACACTCCAAACTCATCTTGTGTAACAGAACGGACAACACGGCCACGCCCATGCCACGGCTCAGTATGAAGTCCCCTGTGTCCCGGACGAGCCCCATTCTGCCATAACCCGGCTCCGTAGAAATGACAGAAACTCTCTAAACAACAGTTTCAATTGAAATAATATTTATGAATAACCAAAGTGAATGTTTTAATGAGGTTTGAAGTGTGTAGTGAGTGTGTGCGGTGTATGTGCTGTGAGAGTCTGCAGTGGTGAATGGTGTGTAGAAAATATACCACAAACTAAACCAAACCAAAGCTAACCAAACCAAACCAGAGCAAACCAAACCTAAGGAGGCGGGGCAGGTGGCAGGATGGGAGCAGGATGAGCAACAAGAATGTCTGGCATGTGCACGAGCTTTAAAGGTGCAGCTCTGTCTGTGACGCACCAATGAGCGCCGCTCCCACATGGTACATACTTTCTGGTACTAACACTAACACATCAACACGTCACACATGGTACTTACTTTCTGGTCCCTAACACAGACACATCAACATGTCACACATGGTACTTACTTTCTGGTCCCTAACACAGACACATGGTACTTACTTTCTGGTCACTAACACAGACACATGGTACTTACTTTCTGGTCACTAACACAGACACATGGTACTTACTTTCTGGTCACTAACACAGACACATGGTACTTACTTTCTGGTCACTAACACAGACACATGGTACTTACTTTCTGGACACTAACACAGACACATGGTACTTACTTTCTGGTCACTAACACAGACACATAGTACTTATTTTCTGGTCACAGACACATGGTACTTACTTTCTGGTCACTAACACAGACACGTGGTACTTATTTTCTGGTCACTAACACAGACACATGGTACTTAATTTCTGGTCACTAACAAAGACACATGGTACTTACTTTCTGGTCACAGACATATGGTAATTACTTTCTGGTCACTAACACAGACACATGGTACTTACTTTCTGGTCACTAACACAGACACATGGTACTTACTTTCTGGTCACTAACACAGACACATGGTACTTACTTTCTGGTCACTAACACAGACACATGGTACTTACTTTCTGGTCACTAACACAGACACATGGTACTTACTTTCTGGTCACTAACACAGACACATGGTACTTACTTTCTGGTCACTAACACAGACATATGGTACTTACTTTCTGGTCACTAACACAGACACATGGTACTTACTTTCTGGTCACTAACACACACATCAACACGTCAACACATGGTACTTACTTTCTGGTTCCTAACACAGACACATGGTACTTACTTTTTGGTCCCTAACACAGACACATGGTACTTACTTTCTGGTCACTAACACACACATCAACACGTCACACATGGTACTTACTTTCTGGTCACTAACACAGACACATGGTACTTACTTTCTGGTCACTAACACAGACACATGGTACTTACTTTCTGGTCACTAACACAGACATATGGTACTTACTTTCTGGTCACTAACACAGACACATGGTACTTACTTTCTGGTCACTAACACAGACACATGGTACTTACTTTCTGGTCACTAACACAAACACATGGTACTTACTTTCTGGTCACTAACACAGACACATGGTACTTACTTTCTGGTCACTAACACACACATCAACACGTCACACATGGTACTTACTTTCTGGTCACTAACACAGACACATGGTACTTACTTTCTGGTCACTAACACAGACACATGGTACTTACTTTCTGGTCACTAACACAGACACATGGTACTTACTTTCTGGTCACTAACACAGACACATGGTACTTACTTTCTGGTCACTAACACAGACACATGGTACTTACTTTCTGGTCACTAACACAGACACATGGTACTTACTTTCTGGTCACTAACACAGACATATGGTACTTACTTTCTGGTCACTAACACAGACACATGGTACTTACTTTCTGGTCACTAACACACACATCAACACGTCACACATGGTACTTACTTTCTGGTTCCTAACACAGACACATGGTACTTACTTTTTGGTCCCTAACACAGACACATGGTACTTACTTTCTGGTCACTAACACACACATCAACACGTCACACATGGTACTTACTTTCTGGTCACTAACACAGACACATGGTACTTACTTTCTGGTCACTAACACAGACACATGGTACTTACTTTCTGGTCACTAACACAGACATATGGTACTTACTTTCTGGTCACTAACACAGACACATGGTACTTACTTTCTGGTCACTAACACAGACACATGGTACTTACTTTCTGGTCACTAACACAAACACATGGTACTTACTTTCTGGTCACTAACACAGACACATGGTACTTACTTTCTGGTCACTAACACACACATCAACACGTCACACATGGTACTTACTTTCTGGTCACTAACACAGACACATGGTACTTACTTTCTGGTCACTAACACAGACACATGGTACTTACTTTCTGGTCACTAACACAGACACATGGTACTTACTTTCTGGTCACTAACACAGACACATGGTACCTACTTTCTGGTCACTAACACAGACACATGGTACTTACTTTCTGGTCACAAACAAAGACACATGGTACTTACTTTCTGGTCACTAACACAGACACATGGTACTTCCTTTCTGGTCACTAACACAGACACATGGTACTTACTTTCTGGTCACTAACACAGACACATGGTACTTACTTTCTGGTCACTAACACAGACACATGGTACTTACTTTCTGGTCACTAACACAGACACATGGTACTTACTTTCTGGTCACTAACACAGACACATGGTACTTACTTTCTGGTCACTAACACAGACACATGGTACTTACTTTCTGGTCACTAACACAGACACATGGTACTTACTTTCTGGTCACTAACACAGACACATGGTACTTACTTTCTGGTCACTAACACAGACACATGGTACTTACTTTCTGGTCACTAACACAGACACATGGTACTTACTTTCTGGTCACTAACACAGACAGACTGATCCTTATTGTTCCTGAAGAAGTCTCTGTCGTGTTGCTCTGAAACACACAAGACCAAGGAGGAAGTCGTCACAACCGACTCAACTGGTTTGGCAGATTTCTCTATGGTCTCCCTCTGGTTTCTAAATCTGGAGTTTTCCTGATCGCTCTCTGGTCCCTCTCTTTCTGTTCTCTTTCTACTTTCTATATTTGGAGTCTCTCTCTGGTCTTTCTCCGGTCGGTCTCTGGTCTCTCTCTTTGGCCTCTCTCTGTTCTCTCTCTGGTCTCTCTGGTCTCTCTCTGATCTCTCTCTGATCTCCCTCTGGTCTCTCTCTGGTCTCTCTCTGGTCCCTCTCTTGTCCATCAGTAAAAGTGTCACTTCCGGTACCGTCTTTCACCAGTCTCTGGTCTCTCTCGGGTCCCTTTCTGGTTTCTCTCTCTGGTCTTTCTCTCTGGTCTCTCTCTGGTCTCTCTCATATGTGCAGGTGATGATCTGGAGCAGCTCTTGGCCGTTGTAACTGTTGAAATTAACAAACTAAAGACCTGGTTTAATACAAACAAGTTGTCATTAAATATAAAAAAGACCAAGATTATGCTTTTTAGCAATCGCAGATGTAATATTCCTGTCAAGATTGTCATTGACGATACAGAAATGGAAAAAGTTCACCAAAATACATTTTTAGGAGTTGTAATAGATGATAAAATATCCTGAAAACCCCACATAAATTTCATCAGGTCAAAAGTTGCTAAATGTGACAGGGTGGAGGAGGAGCAGGAGTGGCAGGGTGGAGGTGGAGCAGGGGTGACAGGGTGGAGGAGGAGCAGGAGTGGCAGGGTGGAGGAGGAGCAGGAGTGGCAGGGTGGAGGTGGAGCAGGAGTGGCAGAGTGGAGGAGGAGCAGGAGTGGCAGGGTGGAGGAGGAGCAGGAGTGGCAGGGTGGAGGTGGAGCAGGAGTGGCAGGGTGGAGGAGGAGCAGGAGTGGCAGGGTGGAGGAGGTCAGATAAGTGGAGGAGGAGCAGGTTGTGAAGTGCTCTGAAAGTGGTGAGGAGTCTTTTGAAGTGAATCAGTTGTTTAACAGGAAGCCAGTGGAGTTGTCGGAGTACGGGGGTGATGTGGTCAGCTGTGGGGGTCCGGGGGATGATGCAGCTGCAGAGTTTTGAGGAGCTGCAGTTTCTGGAGGGATTTGTTGGGGAGGCCGAAGAGAAGTGAGTTGCAGTCGTCAATCCTAGAGGTGACGAGGCTGTGGACGAGGATGGCGGTGGTGTGGGGGGTGAGAGAGGGGCGGAGACGAGGGTGGTGTGGGGGGTGAGAGAGGGGCGGAGACGAGGGTGGTGTGGGGGGTGAGAGAGGGGCGGAGACGAGGGTGGTGTGGGGGGTGAGAGAGGGGCGGAGACGAGGGTGGTGTGGGGGTGAGAGAGGGGCGGAGACGAGGGTGGTGTGGGGGGTGAGAGAGGGGTGGAGACGAGGATGGTGTGGGGGGTGAGAGAGGGGCGGAGACGAGGATGGTGTGGGGGTGAGAGAGGGGTTGGAGACGAGGGTGGTGTGGGGGGTGAGAGAGGGGCGGAGACGAGGATGGTGTGGGGGTGAGAGAGGGGCGGAGACGAGGGTGGTGTGTGGGGAGTGAGAGAGGGGCGGAGACGAGGATGGTGTGGGGGGTGAGAGAGGGGCGGAGACGAGGGTGGTGTGGGGGGTGAGAGAGGGGCGGAGACGAGAGATATTGCGCAGGTGGAAGTAGGCGGACCGAGTGATATTATTGATGTGAGATTGGAAGGAGAGTGAACTGTCGAGGATGACACCCAGACTCTTGACCTGAGGGGAGGGGAGGACAGATGTGTTATGGATGGAGAGGGGAGGGGAGGACAGATGTGTTATGGATGGAGAGGGGAGGGGAGGACAGATGTGTTATGGATGGAGAGGGGAGGACAGATGTGTTATGGATGGAGAGGGGAGGGGAGGACAGATGTGTTATGGATGGAGAGGGGAGGGGAGGACAGATGTGTTATGGATGGAGAGGGGAGGGGAGGACAGATGTGTTATGGATGGAGAGGGGAGGGGAGGACAGATGTGTTATGGATGGAGAGGGGAGGGGAGGACAGATGTGTTATGGATGGAGACAGAGAAGCTGTTAGATTTGGAGAGAGTGGAGGGGGTGCCCACGAGAAGGACTTCAGTTTTAGAGCTGTTGAGTTTGAGAAAGTTGGAAGAGAACCAGGAATTAATTTCTGGTCTCTCTCTGGTCTCTCTCTCTGGTCTCTCTCTCTGGTCTCTCTCTCTGGTCTCTCTGGTCTCTCTCTCTGGTCTCTCTCTGGTCTCTCTCTCTGGTCTCTCTGGTCTCTCTCTCTGGTCTCTCTCTGGTCTCTCTCTCTGGTCTCTCTGGTCTCTCTGGTCTCTCTCTGGTCTCTCTCTCTGGTCTCTCTCTGGTCTCTCTCTGGTCTCTCTCTGGTCTCTCTTGCTGGTCTCTCTGGTTTCTCTCTCTGGTCTCTCTCTGGTCTCTCTCTCTGGTCTCTCTCTGGTCTCTCTCTGGTCTCTCTCTCTGGTCTCTCTCTCTGGTCTCTCTCTGGTCTCTCTCTGGTCTCTCTCTCTGGTCTCTCTCTGGTCTCTCTCTCTGGTCTCTCTCTGGTCTCTCTCTGGTCTCTCTCTGGTCTCTCTCTGGTCTTTCTCTGGTCCATCAGTAAAAGTCTCACTTCCTGTAATAACAGACAGGCCACGCCCCCCTGTCCCCTCACTGTGAACTGTAAAAATCTCTGTAAAAACGACGCTGAAAACATCTGAAAACTACAAATCTCACGACTTTAGTGGAAATGAACAACGTCAAACACCAAAGGGAGGAAAAAGGGATTGAAGCAAACCATGAAGCGACCGCCACGGCATCAAGAGACCAGGAGTTTCAAGAGTCACAACCGGGCTCCAACCAAATTCTAAAAGCAATCACGGATTTAAAGTTGGACAAAGTGGGTCTGAGGACTGATTTTACAGCTAAAACTGATCATGTCCTGTCAGTGGTCCAAGGGATAAGAACCCATCTAGATGAGAGCTTTAAGAGGCTGACGCAAGCAACGAATCTCTCATCATGAAAACACAGTAGGAACCCTCAAAACTACGGTTAACAAACTCCAAAGCCAAATAAAGACGTCACCTCTAAAGTGGACCATCAAGAAAACAGGAGCCGGAGATCCAACTTGAGGCTGAAAGGTCTTCCCGAGGGAGCGGAGGGAGCGGATCCGTGTGGATTCATGGAAAGGTGCCTGGCCAAGGTTCTGGAGCTGGGACCGCGACGAACCCCACTTATCATGGAGCGCTGCCATCGGCTTCCCAGCTCTGTCAGCTTCATCGACAAGGAGAGGCCTCCACGTCCCGTCATCATGAAGTGTTTAAACTTCCAAGATAAAACGCTGGTCCAAATCGCTGCCAGGAAGAAGGGAAAGCCCTCTATAAATCCAGGCAGGTGATGTTCTTCCCGGACGTGTCGCCTGAAGTCCATAGATTGCAGCAGGATTACAGCGAGGTCAAGAAGATCCTCCGAGCTAAAAATGTTGGATACAGAATCATATATCCAGCCCGTCTCCCAGTGACCTGTGGTGGTCGCACGCATCTGTTGGAAACGCCAGCTCAAGTCGCTCACTTCATACGTGGGATGGAGAAAAGTGACAACGATTCACCAAAAGATGAGTAAAGACATGTATTTTAACTGTGGCTTATTTAAGTATACTGCCACCTGGTGGACAGGGTTTGCACATTGGTTTGAGTTACTGTCTTATAAACTGAGCAAAATGCTGCTGCTTCATAATTAACAAATGAATACTTGCAGAGTATATGAGATTATTTTATTGTTTATTCTTGACTCTTAAAGGTTTATTGTTTTATTTGTCCTTCCGTCCAGTAACATCAGTTTAACGTGATCTTCTAGTTCCACTGTTTCTGCTTTCCTTCATAGCCGGTGACAGGGAAAAGGCGTTTGAGAGGGTGTGGCCTGTTCATGTCTTGGATGTTCTTGTTGCTGTGTGCGTGTCTGTCTGGTATGTATGGGGCCTATTCTTTGACCATTCACTCTCCTCCTTTAAGCATGTTCCTCAAATCATATAAGATCTACACTTCTAATAGTGACAGCTCCTCTGAAACTGAGGAAAACTATTTGAGCCTAAACTCTCACAACTTGGAGCCAAGAATCAATTTCTCCGATTATTTCAATGATAAAACACAAAGGAACATGGATGAAACTGATCCAGATAGAAACGTTTTTCCAAATACCAAGAGTGGTTGTTTGTATTTTACTGATATCATGTTTGACAAAGAATTTACAAAGAGAAAAAACATGTCTTTGGTGCATTTCAATAGTAGAAGTTTATTCTCACATTTGAATGAATCCAACAATATCTGAAACAATGTAAATGTCTTTTCAATAAAAAAGCAGTTTCAGAAACATGGATAAATGAGAAGACAGTGAGTTTGTAATGAGTATGAAATGTTCTGTACTAACAGACAACATCAGAGAGGAGGGGAGTGGCTTTATATGTTGATAATAACATCATGTGTCATATTGTTGATCACACTCTTTCACCGTCAACGAACTTTTTCACTGTGTAACAATAGAAATGACAATTGTATTTTAGTAATGTAATGTAATTCAGAAAATGGATGGAGAAAATATTTAGTAATAAAAACAAAGATCTTATAATCTGTGGAGACTACAATATGAACTTATTAAATCCTAATAATAATAAACTGACAGATGAATTTATAGACAGTATGTTTTCCATGGGTCTCTATCCACTTAAAACCAGAGCAACAGCACCAGTGCCACTCTGATAGCTCTGATAATAACATGTTCTGTCATATTTTAGACAAAAACATAGCGGGTGGTCTGCTGGTAAATGATGCCAGTGACATCTGCCAGTTTTCATGATATATGATCTAAACTATAACCAAACCTGTAAACCGTGAGTGCCATTGTAGAGTAACAACAGAACAATCCATAAACGCCCTGAACATGGATTTGGCAACACAGAACTGGGAACATGTTTGCCAAATGTCAGATGTAAATACAGCTTACAACTCCTTTTTAAAACTCTCTATGACAAAAAATGTCCCGTTAAAACATTTAGGATAAAAGACTCCACAATAACTCCTTGGTTAACTAAAGGGCTTTCAAATGCCTGCAAAAAGAAAACATATTTATATAGACAATTCTTTAGGCTTAGAACAAGAGAATTGTGATATAAAAAATACAAAAACAAATGAACCAGTATTTTGAGAGAAAGTAGGAAAGAATATTACACCAAATGATGAATGAAAAAGATCAATGATATCAAAGGAGTTTGGAACATATGAAACACAGTGATTGGTCGTGGCTCTGAAAGCCTGTGTTGCCATGGATACTGTGCAGTGAATGGTAAAATGATAAGGGTCAAAAAGGCGATTGCAGATGGGTTTAATCATTTCTTTGGAAGTATCGGACCTGAATTGGCCAAAAAAACAGCAAACAACAACGAGTCACTGGATGAATGTAAATAAAGTGTAGTTGGATGTTGGTCAGTCGCACAGATGAGGAGGAAGTACTGAACCTCATTATTTATCTGTTTATTCCAAAAACCACCATTAACATCTGACACAGAATAATCCAATCAATAAACAAGGTTTGGAAAGAGCTGAAGCAAACACTCGTATGTTTCCATCCCCCTCCTCACACTCTGCACTCATACAGACAGGACATAAAGACACACACAAACACACACACCAACATACACACAACACACACACACACACTCACACTGGCCCAATCACTCTCCGACCCCACACCCCTCTCTCAGCACCAGAACACTCTCCGACCCCACACCCCTCTCTCAGCACCAGAACACTCTCCGACCCCACACCCCTCTCTCAGCACCAGAACACTCTCTGACCCCACACCCCTCTCTCAGCACCAGAACACTCTCCGACCCCACACCCCTCTCTCAGCACCAGAACACTCTCCGACCCCACACCCCTCTCTCAGCACCAGAACACTCTCCGACCCCACACCCCTCTCTCAGCACCAGAACACTCTCCGACCCCACACCCCTCTCTCGGGTGTGTATGTTACACCCAAGAGACTCTACTCTACTCTACTCTACTCTACTCTACTCTACTCTACTCTACTCTACTCTACTCTACTCTACTCTACCCTACTCTACTCTACTCTACTCTACTCTACTCTACCCTACTCTACCCTACTCTACTCTACTCTACTCTACCCTACCCTACCCTACCCTACCCTACTCTACTCTACTCTACTCTACCCTACTCTACTCTACTCTACTCTACTCTACTCTACCCTACTCTACTCTACTCTACTGTTTCCTCTGGTCCTGTGTAACCAGTACCAGGTCCATATATTTCTCTGCTTCATAAATGATTTCATAACTGTATTGACACAAACTGAGACATGAACAAAGAGAGGCTCAAACACAGACCACAGTCAGAAAGAAGTTTAACAAGTTTAATGTTCAAAAAGCACTAAAAACATCCAAAAACAGGCAGAATCAGAATCATTTTTATTGCCATGTAAGTAACAGGAAGTCACAGACGAGGAAACTGCTTTGGCTCTCGCTGCAAACGACTCAAAAGTAGAGAAGAGAAGAATAAGGCAGAATAAAACATTTCTAAACATTTCTAAAGTTTAGCATTTCCTAAAATAGAAAGAGTTCAAAGTAAAGTTATTATGATTATTATTATTTACAAGTGCACTCGGTGAACACAAGGAAGGAGCGAGACACAGACTCTGGAGCAGGCAACACAAACTTTACATGACATTTAGATCATAATGAGAAAAGTGCTCATCCCACTCCCTAAACACATGAACAGAAGGAGACCGATCCCACAGAGTTAAACACATGAACAGAAGGAGACCGATCCCACAGAGTTAAACACATGAACAGAAGGAGACCGATCCCACAGAGTAAAACACATGAACAGAAGGAGACCGATCCCACAGAGTTAAACACATGAACAGAAGGAGACTGATCCCACAGAGTTAAACACATGAACAGAAGGAGACCGATCCCACAGAGTTAAACACATGAACAGAAGGAGACCGATCCCACAGAGTTAAACACATGAACAGAAGGAGACCCATCCCACAGAGTTAAACACATGAACAGAAGGAGACCGATCCCACAGAGTTAAACACATGAACAGAAGGAGACCGATCCCACAGAGTTAAACACATGAACAGAAGGAGACGATCCCACAGAGTTAAACACATGAACAGAAGGAGACCGATCCCACAGAGTTAAACACATGAACAGAAGGAGACCGATCCCACAGAGTTAAACACATGAACAGAAGGAGACCGATCCCACAGAGTCTCACTCAGACCCAGGACACAGAGACACTGAGGAGCCTTCAGTCCAGAGCCCAAACCCAGGGACCAGAGACTGAGAGAAGGTGGAGCTGAAGGTGTGGAGGTGGATCAGTCCCTCAGAGGAGACTGTGTAGAAGGACAGAGACCCAGCAGGACAGTCCACAAAGACTCCCACTGTCCCAGAGGAGGAGGACCAGGACTGACGGAGGTCAATGTGTTTGTTATTATGATGAACAGAGAAACCATCTTCAGAGCAGAACAGACTCCAGGACTGAGGGTTGAATCCAAACCAACAGTCATCACTGCGTCCTTTCCTCTGGATGTTTCTGTAACTCACTGATATATAAACCTTTCCGCTCCACTGGACCTCCCAGTACCAGCGACCAGTCAGACCAGATGAACACATGATCTGAGGCAGTGAGTCAAATCTGTCCTGGTGCTCTGGATAGAGCTGCTGCTCCCTCACACGTGTCACCTTCTTGTTGTTGTCAGACAGTTTGAGGTTTGTGTGAGCGGAGTTTGGATCCAGAGTGAGATCACAGAGATCTGAGAACACAACACAGCAGCAGTTAGAGAGACCATGTGGACACACAGGGACCATGTGGACACACAGAGACCATGTGGACACACAGAGACCATGTGGACACACAGAGACCATGTGGAAACACAGAGACCATGTGGACACACAGAGACCATGTGGACACACAGAGACCATGTGGACACACAGAGACCATGTGGACACACAGAGACCATGTGGACACACAAGGACCATGTGGACATACAGAGAGCATGGGACACACAGAGACCAAGTGGACACACAGAGACCATGTGGACACACAAGGACCATGTGGACATACAGAGAGCATGGGACACACAGAGACCATGTGGACACGCAGAGACCATGTGGGCACAAAGAGAACATGTAGACATACAGCCACCATGGGACACACAGAGACAATGTGGACACACAGAGACCATGGGACACACAGAGACCATGTGGACACGCAGATACTATGTGGAAACACGGAGACACCATGTGGGCACACAGAGACCATGTTGACACAGAGAGACCATGTGGAAACATAGAGACCATGTGGGCACAAAAAGACCATGTGGACACACAGCCACCATGGGACACACAGAGACCATGTGGACACACAGAGACTATGGGACACACAAAGACCATGTGGACACACAGACACCATGTGGACACACAGAGACCATGTGGACAAACACACACATCTGAAACAGAGACCATGTGGACACACAGCCACCAGGGGACACACAGACACCATGTGGACACACAGAGACCATGGGACACACAAAGACCATGTGGACACACAGACACCATGGGACACACAGAGACCATGTGGACAAACACACACATCTGAAACAGAGACCATGTGGACAAACACATACATCTGACACAGAGACCATGTGGACACACAGAGACCATGTGGACACACATACACCATTTGGACAAACACATAGATCTGACACAGAGACCATGTGGACAAACACATACATCTGACAGAGAGACCATGTGGACAATAGTATCACATGATGCTAACATGTAAGCTAGTATCACATGATGCTAACATGTAAGCTAGTATCACATGATGCTAACATGTAAACTAGTATCACATGATGCTAACATGTAAACTAGTATAACATGATTCTAACATGTAAGCTAGTATCAAATGATGCTAACATGTAAGCTAGTATCACATGATGCTAACATGTATAATACTATCACATAATGCTAACATGTAAAATAGTATAACATGATTCTAACATGTTAGCTAGTATCACATGATGCTAACATGTAACATGTATCACATGATGCTAACATGTAACATGTATCACATGATGCTAACATGTAAGCTAGTATCACATGATGCTAACATGTAAGCTAGTATCACATGATGCGAACATGTAAGCTAGTATCACATGATGCTAACATGTAAGCTAGTATCACATGATGCTAACATGTAACATGTATCACATGATGCTAACATGTAACATGTATCACATGATGCTAACATGTAAAATAGTATCACATGATGCTAACACGTAAGCTAGTATCACATGATGCTAACATGTAAGCTAGTATCACATGATGCTAACATGTAAGCTAGTATCACATGATGCTAACATGTAAACTAGCATCACATGATGCTAACATGAAAGCTAGTATGACATGATGCTAACATGTACAAGTACTATGGTACAATACAGCTCTGCTGGTGGAGCTGCAGTTGGCTGGATGACACTGTGCCACATTAGCTCCTTTGTGTTAGCGCAGAGGGCCACAGGACGCAGAGGGCCATATTTGGCCCGCAGGCCGCAGGTTGGACATGCCATGACCTTGTGAGTTCAGCTTTAGTCCTTGTCACCGCTGACTTTGTTTTTACTTCATTATTTATTTAAAGTGGTTCAGAGCGACACACGTTCTGTCCAGTTCTTCTGAAACATGTGGAACACGCTGGATTCTAAACAAATATGTTTCTGTGACAGTTTTTCCCAAAATGAACCTTCATTTCAACTTTGTCCATTTCCATTTTCCCCAAACTCAGCTCCATAAGCAGTGACAGATCCAGGAGAAGCTTTTAATGAAGTCACTTCAACACTTACACTTTCTGGGTCCTGGAGTTAACCTCTGAGCTCCAGAATGCTCCAGTCTGAAACACATTAAATTCTCATTAAAACATCTGTCACACTGAGTCCGGTTATGGCGGCCATGTAGGGAAGACATGCTTTAGACCGCTCCGCTGCCCGTGCTCAAATTATTAACCAATATTTGATTCTTTATTGTTTCCTTTATTGGATGGAACAACGTCTCCAGCAAAGGGAAGCAAAGTAAGCCAAGATGCCACCGAGAAGATTAAACAGCATAAACTAACGGAGTATGGCCATCGCAGCGAGGCACAGAAAGCTAATGCTAGCGGTAGCAACTCCCCACCCGGAATGGCGACGAGGGATGCGAGCGAAGACAGAACCCAGAGCAGTAAAGTGGATGAAATACTATCCATAGTTACTGCCATAAAAAGTGATTTGGATCATCTTCGACAGGATGTTCAGGACTGCGCCGAGCGAGTGACACAGGCAGAAACCCACACATCTAACGACGAAGATGAGGTTGAAACCCTGCGGGCTAAAGCTAGTGCACTGGAGTCGAAGCAGAACATCTTGGAAGAACAAAATAATGGACTTGGAATCGAGGTGAAGACGGAACAACGTTAGGCTTGTTAACTTGGATGAAGGTACCGAGGGAAGTGACCCGTGCAAGTTTCTGGAAAGGTGGATTCCTGAGATCCTGAGTATTTCACTTCAGACCCCGATGTTTATTGAAAGCACCGAGTTGGCCCACGGAAAGAACACGGCAGAGAGAGACCTCGCACTCTGATAATGCGTTTTCTCAACTACAGGGACAGGGAGGCTGTCCTGAACGCTGTAAAGGCCAAAGCGGACATTCGCTACGAAGGAGATTGGATCCGGTTTTACCCAGACCTGGCTGCGGGTCTGCAACAACTCCGGAAAAGATACGACTCTGTTCGGGAAGATCTACGCAAACTTGGATTGAGACATGGCGTAACACACCAGGGGAAGCTGCCGGTGACGTACAAGGAGAAGACGTGTGTGTTTGCATCTCCAGCGGAGGCGCCTGTTTTTGTAAATAACACCCTGACTGAAAGAGATCAGTGAAATAGGCCACATGCACGGGGAGGCGTGACGTCATTTCCTGTTAACAAAGATCAGCCCGTTCACTTCCTGTCTATGCTATCTATGGCTTTTAGTGACGTTTTAGTGACGTTTTTAGTAATTAGATTGATACATTCAGCTGAGACTGACCCAAAAGTGTGGACGTGCTTTCTCTCTGAGGTAGAGCTGTGACTGTGGCCACTCAGAGAGATTAGTAAACTTTATAAAAACACAATGACAGCACAATCAGAGAGCACTGCTGTGTCCCAGAAATGCCCAGTATCCTACAGTTTAATTCCTGTTTGAGCATTATTTGGAAAACCACTGAACTCCAGTGAAACTCAAGCCGTTCCCGCGCACAGGAAGTGAAGTGGGGTTGGAACTAAAACGCAGAAGTGGTGCGTGCATAGAGCCCATTGGTCTGTTTTGATTTACCTTCCGAATGTTTTATTAAAATATACTCTGAACAGATGTGACAATAATTTAACCATTTTGAACTCTGGTTCTAATTTTCATCATAGCCAAAAAAAAGGACCTGTGCCCTCAGGTCTTAAGTCACAAGGACACAGGATAAGCAGACAGGAATCATAAAGATACCAGCTCCACAGGGCGAATTATTAACTTTAAATAATAAACATCTGCTTCCCTCTTTTGACGAGGGCAAAAGTTCAGAACCTGATCTCCCAGGCAGACTGGGAGATTCACCAACGGCATTCTGACGCCTCCCAGTGGACAAGGGACGCCAGCACACCCGGAAGGAAAACCCTTGGGAGGCGCATAGAGATGACGTCATCGGAAGTCTCCTACATTAACCTTCCTGAAGGTCTTTGAGGGCAGTCAGGACAGGGCAAGCATAGGGAGAGCAGGCATAGTTTAGGAGCTTGTTGAATTTCTGTATCTGATTGTAAAGATAAATTAAATACAGATGTTAAACTTGGAAATCTTCGTCTTGTTTTCTGCATCAACTTTTCTGCATCAACTTTGGACACGTCTGTCAAGGGTTTTTTTGACACCATTTGGTGACCCCGACGTGATTGATGCAGGAGCAAGACAAAGACGTGCTCAAGATATAGGCTGGGTCCGTGGGCCTGGGAAATTCTCTCTGCTCTTCGAAAAAGTCACTTCTAAAGAGGTAAGCAGATCATATTTTTTTAAATCTGCACATTGTTTTTAAATGGAAGAGAGAGAGAATTTGGCTCGACAGACTGCAGTGTGGACAGACCGCCGTGACGGCCGTTCTATCGGACGCGATAGAACAATAGTCAGGTTTTTCAACGCTTTAGCCTTGAGGGAAGATTTTGGTCCCCCTCTAAAAAAATAAAAGGGAGAAAAGAAAGTCCACAGAGTTAGAAGTGCAGAAGAGGCACAATTGTTTAGTGAAAATATAAATAGAAATAGGGACAGTTAGGGTCAGAAGTTATAGTATAATAAAACCTTCCCTCCCCCGGGGGGCGGGAAAAAGGGTACATTTAAACAAAACAAAAAAAAGCCAAGTAGTTAAATTGTTGGATTCTGTATTTTGACTAATAATGATCTGATTAATGAGGAGAAAAGAGAGCCACTTGGCTGTAGTATACGAGTTTCATGTGGAGAAAATACAAAAGGATCAGTTCTGGGAGTTTTTCTTGTATTGTGATGTAGTGTTTTAATAGTTACAGAGAATCAAAAAAAACAAAAACAAAAAAAGATTCTGCTGTAGCTAGTGATACATTATTCATGTAGGCAAATTGTAATGTTTTCATTACTGACGTATTTAAGGATAAATGTAAAGTGTCGTTTGACGTGAGAAAAACTCTTACCACTGATTAAAACCTTGTCACGAGAAAAAACGAGGGAAATGCTTGAGGCATACAGCACTCAGCCCCTCCCTTTCCTCTTTCTGTCTGCTCTCTCTCTCTCTCTCTCTCTCTCTCTCCCGTGAAGACAGAAGGATACCAAATATATTTTTTGTAGAAAATTACATTTATACACACGATAATGTTACTGACATGGAGTCATATGATCACAGAACTTTGAGTTAGATTATAAAGAGGCATTATTTTATTCTTTTGACCATCTCCAAACGTCTAGACAAGTTATTAAACATTTTTCCCTACATTTTGGTGATATAAAATTTAAAATGATCTTAGAGAGCATTATACTTTTGGAAAAATAGGGCTTAGGATAGCAGCTGAATGCAGAATTCGGTTTTCAGAATTTAATGTTTAAAGTGTTAATATTAATTATGTCATAGGTTTATTTAGATTTGTAATTAATCATTGGTTTTGTGTGGTATTAACACACTTGTTTGTGTTTCTTGTTTGTCTGTTTTTTCTGAGAAAACTTATGTCTGTTTCATTGGCCGATTGCCAAAAGCGTCTCTGCCACAAGACCTCAATCGAGCGCCATCAAAACGGACCATCAGCGTCTCCCCCGACCCAGAGGGGGCACCAACAACAGCAGCATCGGCTGCAGCAGCTAACAGGAGCTCTTGAAGAAGACTTCTCCGGCCTCCATTTCCATGGAGAAAATGGCCACAGACTTTTGCACAAACTGAGTGAAGCTATGTGCACGAAGAGGAACGGTGTGTGAACCGAGCGAAAGACACGACACACTTGTGTGCGTCAGATTGAAAGAAGAAGAAAGTGATTGAAAAGAAGAAGAAAGACATTATGAGAAAAAGTTATCGAAAGAAAAAAGAAAGTGATTGATTGAAAGAAGAAGAAAAAAGACATTGAGACAAGGACATTGGACACTATGAGACAAAGACATTGAAAGACGCCATAACAGACATTTGAGGAGGACGTGGCAGGGCAAATGAAACAGACAGAAGGTAGTATATACAGACAAACAACGCACCGGGACATATAGGACATTTAGGTCATATTTACACATTCAGGTCATACGTTCAAAACACTACATTTAACTGCATGAATGATTACAAGCCAATCGTCAAAATTATTAGACTCTTACTTTAGAATGAGACACAAGAAGATTAGAATTGTAGTATATTTGTGCATGATTTAGATGAGTTTTATTATTAAAACTGTTATAGACGCGGAGAAGTTTAGAATTATTGATTTTAACTGCATGATCTTGGTAATACGGATATTTAAGGCAGTGTTTTCAACCTCTGAACCGTGGCTCGTTTCTCATTTAAAACAATCACATGCACAGTTGAAACTGGTGCTGGAAAGAGAAGAGGTGGCGAGGTAATGTTTATACATCAGCATTTTCTTCACGGGCGAGGGGCGTCATGACTTTGATTCATGAATCAGTTCCATTGAACGTTAATAATATAATGAAGGAGAAGAGAGGCAGATATTTGATCATTCAAGGATCTATGCTGCACGAACACATACATTTAGTAAACGTGTCTGGTCCAAATTCAGATGACTCCACTTTTTACCATGACCTCTTCCTTTTGCTTCCAACACTGCCGGGTCACTATGTACTTGCTGGTGATTTCAATTGTACCCTTGTCCCAAGTTAGGACAGGTCCACGGGCACTGATCAATCGCATAACTCATGCAGATGTCACTTGGCCGACCTTTAGAATATCCAGAAGTCAAAACAACATATGTTTGAACACATTTGAGGACCCTTTATTGAGTTCATGAAGGATTTGGACTTTACTGCTGACCTGACACATTATTAAAAGAAGAAAAAAGACAAACTTGCAGGTCTTTACACTGTTTGGATATGATTATTCTCTATTTTGAAGAGAAGCTTTAAGTTCTCATTAGGCCCAGTTGTTGTTTTTGTCGTTTTTATCTTTTTATTTTATTTGTTTTATTCTAAAATCATCTTGTAATACTGAACTACTCTGTTAAATTGTTAACTGAAGCTTTGTTGTATTATATTCAAAACCTCAATAAAATGTATATATAAAAAATATATATATATATATCTGTCACACTAAGGCCATGTGTTCTTTGATGTGTGATGTCACATGTCTCTTCTGTCCTTACAGACCATACCTGAGAGTGTGCAGGGTGCAGTGGGGGTCCTCCAGCAGAGCAGACAGCAGCTTTACTCCTGTGTCTCCTGGATGGTTGTAGCTCAGGTCCAGTTCTCTCAGATGGGAGGGGTTGGACCTCAGAGCTGAGGCCAGAGAAGCACAGCCTTCCTCTGACACCAAACAACCTGACAGACTGAACACACACATTATTGTAATCACTCACTGTCTTTGTGCACTGGTATTGTCCAAAACAATGACCAACAGGTTCTGTAAGAACAGTGAATCATATGAACCCTCTGACCTGAGCGTCTCCAGTTTACAGTGAGGACTCTTCAGTCCATCAGACAACAGCTTCAGCCCTGAGTCCTTCAGGTCGTTGAGACTCAGGTCCAGGACTCTCAGACTAGAGGACTGGGAGCTGAGGACTGAGGCCAGAGCTCCACAGCTTCTGTCTGACAGCTCACAGCGGCTCAGTCTGGAGACAGAAAACATGGTTATGTAGAAGTTGAATGAATCCTGTGTTAAACAAAGTTTACTCACAGAGCTTTGGTGGAGGCCTTGACCACTGGCAGCAGCCTCAGGAGAACCTTCTCTGAAGCACAGTATCTGCTCAGCTCAAACTGGTCCAGCTCTTCTTCTGATGACAGTAAGATGAAGGCCAGAGCTGACCACTGAGCAGGAGACAGTCCTTCAGACAGACGTCCTGACCTCAGGGTCTGTTGGATCTGATCCACCAGAGAAGAATCATTCAGTTCATTCAGACAGTGGAGCAGACTGATGCTCCTCTCTGCAGACACATCCTCACTCAGCTTCTTCTTAATGTACTCTGCTGTCTTCTGATTGGTCTGGGAGCTACTTCCTGTCTGTGTCAGCAGACCGTTTAGAAGGCTCTGATTGGTCGACACTGAAAGGCCCAGGAGGAAGCGGAGGAGCAGGTCCAGGTGTCCGTTTGGACTCAGTAAGGCCTGGTCCACAGCTGTCTGATGAAAATGATGCAGTTTTCTTTTCACACTGAATATTGTGGACTTGTGTGTTTTCTGTGAGAGCAGGTTGGTGCCAGTGTTGATGAAGGTCAGATGGACGTGAAGAGCAGCCAGAAACTCCTGCACACTCAGATGGATGAAGCAGTAGACTTTGTCCTGGTACAGGCCTGGCTCCTCTCTAAAGACCTGTGTGAAGACTCCGGAGTACACTGAGGCGGCTGCAACGTCCAGCCCACACTCGCTCAGGTCACAGTCGTAGAAGATCAGGTTTCCTCTCTGCAGCTGCTCAAAGGCCAGTTTTCCCAGAGACTTCACCATCTTCCTGGTGTCTGGACTCCAGTGTGGGTCTGTCTCTGATCCTTCTTTATACTTGATGTTCTTGACTTTGGCCTGAACCACCAGGAAGAGGCTGTACATCTGCGTCAGGCTCTTGGGCAGCTCTCCTCTCTCTCTGCTCTTCAACACATGCTCCAGGACTGTGGCAGTGATCCAGCAGAAGACTGGCATGTGGCACATGATGTGGAGGCTTCTGGACGTCTTGATGTGGGAGAGGACTGTGTCGGCCTGTTCTCCGAACCTCCTCTTGAAGTACTGCTCCTTCTGAGAGTCGCTGAACCCTCGGACCTCTGTCACCATGGAGACGCACTCTGCAGGGATCTGATTGGCCGCCGCGGGGCGTGTGGTGATCCAGAGGCGAGCGGAGGGAAGCAGGCTCCCCCTGATGAGGTTCACCAGCAGCAGGCCCAGAGAGACGGACTCTGTGGGGTCTGAGAGGACACGAGAGCTCTTGAAGTCCAGAGGAAGTCTGCACTCGTCCAGACCGTCAAAGATGAAGAGCACCTGGAGGTCTTCAAAGCTGCAGAGATCTGCTTGTGTTTGACTAAAGAAGTGATGAACAAGTGACACCAGGCTGAAGCTTCTGTCCTTCAGAATATTGAGAGTTCTGAAAGTGAAGGGGAACAGCAGCTGGAGGTCCTGGTTGGCTTTGCCTTCAGCCCAGTCCAGACTGAACTTCTGAGTGAGCACTGTTTTCCCGATGCCAGCCACACCCTTTGTCAGCACCGTTCTGATTGGTTTGTCTGAGTGGGCCGGGTCTTTAAAGATGTCTTCACATGTGATGGTTCTCTCTGCTGGTCTCCTGGAGGCTGCTTCCATGTGTCGGACCTCATGTTCCTGGTTGACCTCTGAAGAGCCTCCCTCTGTGATGTAGAGCTCGGTGTAGATCTGCTTCAGGAGGGTGGGGGCTCCTGCTTTAGCAATGCCCTCAAACACACACTCAAACCTCTGCTGCAGATCCACCTTCAGTTTACGCTGAGAACGTCCAGAAGAAACCCCTGAATGAAGACAACAGAGACAGGAGTCAGAGAAGATCACATGACCATCATGAACGTGTTCTTACGGCTCCACAGACGCTCAGCCAGCTCCTTCTGATCCATCCTCCTCAGGAAGTTCAGTGTGATCTTCAGGAGCGCCTCACTGCTGCTCCTCTGCTCCTCATCCTCCACAGGCTCTAAGCATTCTGGGTAATCTGTGCTCAGAAGCCTAAGGAACTTCTTCAGCTCCTCCAGGACAAAATTAGAGAGGTTCTTCTCCAGGTGCTGCACACACACATAAGAAACAACACAAATGGCGGCTGCTACACTATAGCAACCCACAGAAGGACGGGTCAAATGCAGAGGACACATTTCCTCCCGGTGGCAGTAAAGGACCTTAACCTCTTTAAAGATGGAAACACATGTGACTGTGTAGCACCTGTGGCCTGATTAAATGTTGAGACTAATGAATATAAGTCAAAGTAACCAGGTAACACAATTGGAAGTCTGGGCTAGTAACAGAAGTCTAGTTCCGGCTCTAGGAGGGAGTGGACAGGAGACGGGAGAACTTTTTGTAGGTACCATGTATTTAGTAAAGAAAAAGTGCGAAAACATTTACAGTGTACACCAAAAAGTATAGATTCTGTGAATGGCCATTCAGTAATAAAAGTACAATAGCAACAATGATTCAATGCAGCTGTCGAAATAACACTCAATCATCATTAGACATATTTCAAAAGATCAAAAGTCCAGGACCCACAACTTGGGAACCCCAAAGCTGAGGGATCCCACTCACTTCCCGACCCCTCCACCAGTCCCAAGGAGAACACACGTCTGGGTTATAGTGTGAATGTCCAAGGGGGAATTGTCTTTAGAGTTTATGGGGGTAGTATTGTGTGTGGGCAGTGAGAGGTGCGTGGGGAGAGTTCGTGGGCTACAAGGAGCCCCCTACCAGCCCGGCAGGAGAGGTGCTTCTGTTCTTCAGCGGAGTGCCAGACTATAGGCTCTCTGCCTGCTCCTTTCAGCTCGCCATCATCAAATCAGTAGGAACCATGGCCCAGGTTTGTGATGAATCCCTACTTAACCTCCTGAGACCCGAGCATTTGTCTGGTGTGCATTTTATATATTTTTTTGCTATTTAGGATAAGTAGGACCCAATAAGTATAATACCTAAATTGTGATTTTGTACAGGAAGTAGTTTTTGAGAAAAAACATGTCCTCGTATGAGGACAGTGGGTCTCTCATAACCTAAAGAGAAAATGTATGATCTTTTAGGCCGGAAGGTCCTAATTAGTTGAAATTCAAAATTTCAGCTTGATCCAATTAGTACTTCTCTCAAAAATCAATGTCCTCACATGAGGACAGTGGGTCGACCTTACTATACAATACAAATAGACTCCATTGGTCTAAAATAGTATATAACAGTTTATTTGAAAAATGTAAACATCAAAGTTAGACATAAAATCCAAACAGCTCTATCTTCAAAGCCTAAAAATGTCATGGTGTGGACATTTTGACCTGGTTGAGTTTGAATCCTGCCTGTCCTGTTGATTGTTGCCCCGCCCTAATGTGATTCACCTGTGTGTCCCTGTGTGTGTATATATACCCTGTGCCCTTCCTCACTTGTTGTCCGTCCATTGTCTCCACAACGTTTGTCCTGTCTTCAGTTCTGTTTTTACATTACCTTGGATTTATTTTATTAAATTACTTTGATTTTCAGTCCTGCAATTTGGGTTCCCTTTTTCTTCATTCATCCACATGACAAAAAATTGGCTATACATAAATAAAACCGCAAAATACTGTGTAAACTGTCTATTTCAAGCCTTCAATATGGCTGAATTGAATTGATAAATACAATACTAGAACAAATAATGGCAAATATTATTAACAGTCCTAAAACAGTAAAATTCTGCTGAACAGCTTATGAACCGGGGCTTTTTTCAAACTAGCTCCCTCTCTTTTTCTAGAAAGCAATCTGTCTGCCTGTTTGGAAGAGCCCTATTGGCAAGTGTGAAATGCTGCAAAGCAGTTGCATTCACTTTGCAAGCACAGGTACACATTGCATGTCATGCATCGGACACAGGATTTTCCAATGCAGTCTTGTGCTCTGCAACGCATGGGGGTTTTCAAGGCTACCATCTCCGGGTTAGAGTTAGGATTACAATATCCCCAGTCGAGGTCAGCAGCTCTCCACCCGCACCATACACGGTGTTGGCAAAGCACTGCTTCCCCCTCCTGAGGCGCCGGAGGGTTTGCCATAACCTTTTTGAGGGCGACCGATAGTCATGCTCCATGGACTCTCCGAACTCCTCCCAGTGTCGGGTTTTTGCCTCTGCAACAGCCCGGGCCGCGGCACGCTTGGCCTGCCGGTACTGGACAGCTGCCTCCGGAGTCCCACAAACCATCATTGCTCGATAGGACTCCTTCTTCAGCCTGACGGCATCCCTTACTGCCGGTGTCCACCACCGGGTTCGGGGATTGCCGCCGGGACCAGCACCAGAGACCTTGCGACCACAGCTACGAGCCGCTTTATTGGTGATAGAGGAAGAGAACATGGTCCACTCGGACTCAATGTCCCCCTCCTCTGGGTCCTGGGAGAAGCTCTCCCGGAAGTGTGAGTTGAAAGTCCGTCTGACAGGGGGCTCAGCGAGACGTTCCCAGCAGACCCTCACTATACGCTTGGGTCTGCCAGGTCTGACCGGCTTCTTCCCCTGCCAGCGGATCCAACTCACGACCAGGTGATGATCGGTTGACAGCTCCTCCCCTCTCTTTACCCAAGTGTCCGAGACACGCGGTCGAAGGTCAGATGATACGACAACAAAGTCGATCATCAACCTCCGGCCTAGGGTGTCCTGGTGCCACGTGCACTGGTGGACACCCTTGTGCTCGAACATGGTGTTCGTGATGGACAGACCGTGACTGGCACAGAAGTCCAACAACTGAACACCGCTCGGGTTCAGATCAGGGGGGCCGTTCTTCCCGATCACCCCTCTCCAAGTGTCACTGGCATTTCCCACATGGGCGTTGAAGTCCCCCAGGAGAATAACGGAGTCCCCGGGAGGTGCACCGTCCAGTACCCCTCCCAAGGACTCCAAGAAGGCAGGAACTCGGCACTGCCGTTAGGCCCGTAGGCCGTCACAACAATGGGAGACTTGTCCCACCCGGAGGCGGAGGGACGCGACCCTCTCATTCACCGGGGAGAACTCCAACACATGGCGGCTGAGATGGGGGGCAATGAGTATGGCCACCCCAGCTCGCCGCCTCTCCCCGTGGGAAACACCAGAAGATGACTGACAGGTATGAGATGATGATACAATCATCCCCATCTGAGAAGTCCTCTATCTCAGAGTTGTCTGCAATTGCCAACAGCAATTGTTCTGCTCTTGACAATGAAAGTGTGCCTGTAATGATAATGTTAAAAACCAACATCAAAATCTACAGTATATCAGTGACACTTCATAGCTTGGCTATCATGTGCTAGCTATAGCCTAGCTATATTGTTTATGATTTAGAATTTAGCAACACTAAACAATACTTAGCATATACCACTTAGTACTTAAATATACTATTTACAACTGTAAACCACATAACTAAGCAAATGTGTGATTCAAAATAACTATTTACAACTGTAACTTCATCTAAATCTTCCACACGGTTAGCTAAACAGATAGCGGTACATAGTCCTAGCGTCCTCAAACGAGTGCTTCACTTTTACTGACATCCTAGCCTGCTACTACAATCAAAATTTGTCAAATTTCAAACTCCATATGAAGCTAGAGACATTATTGTGCATAAAAAAATTGATTTCATTCATAAAATGTTGATAGAATTTTTACCTGGGGCATTTTTCTTCTGTAAACTCTTGTAGAAGTCTTTTGCTGATATTGCCACCATTTTTTTCCTACTGCCTTAAGTGTAATTCTATCATATCACCACAAGATGGCGCGGGCAGTGTCCCTAAATGTGGCCATCAGGTCAAGGATGTAAAAAATTTAGTATCATTGTGCCAAGAGGCAAAAATGTAATGTCCTCGTATGAGGTCGCAGGGTCTCAGGAGGTTAAGACCTTTCCTGCTCGGTTTGGGACACGGTAGGAGACTCCTGTAGCACGCCTCTGATGTTGCTTCCCCCACAGCCACTCCAGACTGATGCGGGCCGCCATATTAGAATGCGGGATACGTCCTACTACGTCACGTGGCGTGATGACGTCACAGAAAGAAAGCGCAGTGATTGGCTAACATATATAGTATATATGTTAGGGCGACAGTAGCTCAGTTGGTAGAGCATTGGCCTTTGGGCCTGAAGGTCGTGGGTTCGAGCCCACCGTAAGACCTACTTCACGACTCCCACTGATGACTGCTGTCGTTGTGTCCTTGGGCAAGACACTTAACCCTACTTTGCCCAAAAGCCCCAACTGAAAAATCTCAGCTCCTGTGGATTCACCACCTGCAGGAGGATCAGTGAGGGGCTGGTGCTATGTGTACTGGGTGCAGCTCTGACTGCCACCCCCCCGACCCAGAAATGGATTAAGGGGAAGAAAATGGATGGATGGATGGATGGATATAGTATAGCTATAGTGAATGGGGAGAAAATATAAAAAGAATGGGCAGAGACATGCAGGTTTTACCACCTGGGTTACAACTGTATCTTGTGGAAAAACTAGCATAAAGAGTATTTTCTCCTGAAGTCAGAGTGTGTCACAGGTTTGTGTGTGTGTCGTTTTGTGCGTCTGAAGCTTTGTGTAGTGTGTGTATAATAAAGAGAGAACAGGACACATGGACATGAGTCACATCTGTGTGAAACTAGTCCTTCAGCTCAACATCTACAAACGACTGAATGACAGACCTTAAATATGGAGACCAGGTGAGAGCCATGGTGCGGACCAGTGGAGACATCTGCAGCCGCTCTGAGGAGAGACAGAGACACTTATGTCCATGAGACTGAGACACTTATGTCCATGAGACTGAGACACTTATGTCCATGAGACTGAGACACTTATGTCCATGAGACTGAGACACTTATGTCCATGAGACTGAGACACTTATGTCCATGAGACTGAGACACTTATGTCCATGAGACTGAGACACTTATGTCCATGAGACTGAGACACTTATGTCCATGAGACAGAGACACTTATGTCCATGAGACAGATACACTTATGTCCATGAGACTGAGACACTTATGTCCATGAGACTGAGACACTTATGTCCATGAGACTGAGACACTTATGTCCATGAGACTGAGACACTTATGTCCATGAGACTGAGACACTTATGTCCATGAGACTGAGACACTTATGTCCATGAGACTGAGACACTTATGTCCATGAGACAGAGACACTTATGTCCATGAGACAGAGACACTTATGTCCATGAGACAGGGACAATTATGTTCATGAGACTGAGACACTTATGTCCATGAGACAGAGACACTTATGTCCATGAGACAGAGACACTTCTGTCCATGAGACTGAGACACTTCTGTCCATGAGACTGAGACACTTATGTCCATGAGACAGAGACACTTATGTCCATGAGACTGAGACACTTATGTCCATGAGACTGAGACACTTATGTCCATGAGACTGAGACACTTATGTCCATGAGACTGAGACACTTATGTCCATGATACTGAGACACTTATGTCCATGAGACTGAGACACTTATGTCCATGAGACTGAGACACTTATGTCCATGAGACTGAGATACTTATGTCCATGAGACTGAGACACTTATGTCCATGAGACTGAGACACTTATGTCCATGAGACAGAGACACTTATGTCCATGAGACTGAGACTGAGACACGTATGTCCATGAGACTCACTCTGTCTTTAAGTCCCATGGTTCTCCCATAGACTGGTCACTCCTGAAGTTCCATGGTACATCCTTAGACCAGTCACTCCTGAGGGACTCACATCTGGGACCAGGTCCAGACTGAAGTTTGTGGAGGATCCTGAGACACAGAAGAAGAGAGCTTCAGTGTTGGAGAGGCCTTCACCACAGGCTGCGTCACGTCCACAAACACACAGATATCATCTACACCTGGTATCTACACCTGGTATGAGCTCTGTCCATGTCTTCAGGACACTGTGTCTGTGAGCTGCTAATACGAGGAGTGCGACTTACCAAAGACCAGCTCCTCTTTATCATGGTTTAGTCCTGGTTTAGTCCTTGTTTAGTCTCGGTTTAGTCTTGGTTTAGTCCTGGTTTAGTCCTGGTTTAGTCCTGGTTTAGTCTTGGTTTAGTCCTGGTTTAGTCTTGGTTTAGTCCTGGTTTAGTCGATGTGTTTCTCAATGAGGCAAAGGCCCCTAGACAACTTTCAAATACAAATCAATAATAAAACTATTGAAAGAGTAGAGGAGTTCAAGTATCTTGGAGTACTCATGGACTCTCATCTTAAATTTGGAGCTCATGTGAAAAAGATAATAAAGACTGTCAAGATCAACTTGAACTGTTTCCGTCTAATAAGATAAAAACTCTCAATCAGTGCAGCCAAGCTCTTCTTCCATTCAATGATCCTGTCCCATTTTTCATATTGCATCACTGTGTGGGGCCAAGCTAACCAGTCCACCATGAAAGGTTTGAACTCTCTGTACAAGCAAGCTCTGAAAGTGCTCGATAAAAAGCCCACTTTGTGGCACCATTGCAAAGTTCAGGAAAAATATAATCTTTTAAGTTTTGATAATTTTATAACATACTTTTTTATTAAACTAGTCTTTAAATGTGTAAACAACCTCGCTCCCAATATCGCTACAGGAATGATTGAGAAATGTGTAGCTCACAGGATGACCACTAGGGGCGCTGCCAATAGAGACTGCAGAGCAACAAGATGTAAAACATCATTTGGACAGACTGCGTTCGCAGTGAAAGGCCCACAGCTTTGGAACACGTTACCTGCAGAACTGAAAGCCCTAACAGACTTGAAGGAGTTTAAAATTAAAGTCAAACTATGGCTCAAAAGGACCCACACTTGTGAGCATAATGCAAGACTGTAATCATTTATAGTATTTTTTTTATTTTTATTTTTTTTTTGTATTGTATTCTTGTTTATTATTTAGTATAACTTATTACTTATTTTTTTAATATAATGATGTATGTATAATGTAAATGTGATGTATTTATAGGTTTTAGGGACCAGGTCTGCAAACTAGCTGTTAGCTATACGGCCTATGAACACAGCATCGGTTCCTGTAACAATGCTTCTTGTTCTGTCCCTACCAAATAAACAAATAATAATAACTAACACAGACACATCAACAAGTCACACATGGTACTTACTTTCTGGTCACTAACACAGACACATGGTACTTACTTTATGGTCACTATCACAGACACGTGGTACTTTCTGGTCGCTAACACAGACACATGGTACTTACTTTCTGGTCACTCACACAGACACATGGTACTTACTTTCTGGTCACTAACACAGACACATGGTACTTACTTTCTGGTCACTAACACAGAGAGACACGTATGTCCATGAGACTCACTCTGTCTTTAAGTCCCATGGTTCTCCCATAGACTGGTCACTCCTGAAGTTCCATGGTACATCCTTAGACCAGTCACTCCTGAGGGACTCACATCTGGGACCAGGTCCAGACTGAAGTTTGTGGAGGATCCTGAGACACAGAAGAAGAGAGCTTCAGTGTTGGAGAGGCCTTCACCACAGGCTGTGTCACGTCCACAAACACAAAGATATCATCTACACCTGGTATCTACACCTGGTATGAGCTCTGTCCATGTCTTCAGGACACTGTGTCTGTGAGCTGCTGATACAAGGAGTGGGACATACCAAGGACCAGCTCCTCTTTATCATGGTTTAGTCCTGGTTTAGTCCTGGTTTAGTCCTGGTTTAGGCCTGGTTTAGTCCTGGTTTAGTCCTGGTTTAGGCCTGGTTTAGTCCTGGTTTAGTCCTGGTTTAGTCCTGGTTTAGTCTTAGTTTAGTCCTGGTTTAGTCTTGGTTTAGTCCTGGTTTAGTCTTGGTTTAGTCCTGGTTTAGTCCTGGTTTAGTATTGGTTTAGTCCTGGTTTAGTCTTGGTTTAGTCTTGGTTTAGTCCTGGTTTAGTCTTGGTTTAGTCCTGGTTTAGTCTTGGTTTAGTCCTGGTTTAGTCCTGGTTTAGTATTGGTTTAGTCCTGGTTTAGTCTTGGTTTAGTCTTGGTTTAGTCCTGGTTTAGTCTTGGTTTAGTCCTGGTTTAGTCCTGGTTTAGTTCTGGTTTAGTCCTGGTTTAGTCTTGGTTGAGCCCAGATATTTAGCTTCTGCAGTTCCATCTATAGGAAAATCTTTGAGTGACGTTGTTGTTTATAGTTGTTCATACACAATCACTAACACAGACACATGGTACCTACTTTCTGGTCACTAACACAGACACATCAACACATCACATGGTACTTACTTTCTGGTCACAAACACAGACACATCAACACATCACACATGGTACTTACTTTCTGGTCACTAACACAGACACATCAACACGTCACACATGGTACTTACTTTCTGGTCACTAACACTGACACATGAACATGTCACACATGGTACTTACTTTCTGGTCACAAACACAGACACATCAACACGTCACACATGGTACTTACTTTCTGGTCACTAACACAGACACATGAACATGTCACACATGGTACTTACTTTCTGGTCACAAACACAGACACATGAACATGTCACACATGGTACTTACTTTCTGGTCACAAACACAGACACATCAACACATCACACATGGTACTTACTTTCTGGTCACTAACACAGACACATGAACATGTCACACATGGTACTTACTTTCTGGTCACAAACACAGACACATCAACACGTCACACATGGTACTTACTTTCTGGTCACAAACACAGACACATCAACACGTCACACATGGTACTTGGGAACGTGAGCTGGGATTAGACCGTCGAGAGACAGGTTAGTTTTACCCATTCTGACTTAGAGGCGTTCAGTTAATCCCACAGATGGTAGCTTCGCACCAGTGGCAGTTTTGGCGTTGTCCAGAACTGACCCAGGTAAAGCCACGCTCACGGTGTACTGCGGCACGGTGGCTGAGTGGTTAGCACTCTCGCTTCTCAGCAAGAAGGTGGAGTTTGCATGTTCTCCTCATGTCTGCATAGGTTTCCTCCGGGTACTCCGGTTTCCCCTACCACTAAAAAT